TTGTGATGTCTGCCACCTCAGGAGGGGTTTGATTCTGGATTAAACTGCTGGGCCACAGGAGCAGGATTACACACTGGGAGGGAACATGTGGCCCTTTTGAACTGGGTTTATCAAACCACATCCTTCTTTGCAGAGGACAAGCGAGGGACACACTTGCCTCTTGCAGACAGAAAGCCCGAGCAGCAAGTGTAAATGCAGTTCAAACGTAAATCGGAGGTCACTGGTGTTCACTTAAGCTGTACCAAATGGCCGCTATTTTAATCATTTACAAACACTGAATGTTACTGCATTAGAAAGTCTGTTCCAAGTGCTGTTCTGGGATAACTACTCTTAATCAGGCTCTCTGATAGCAAGCAATAAGTGCAATTACAAAGACGATTGTGGTGGTAATTGCACATAATTTACTTTTTTGTAGCATGTTCTGTATTCCAATAGAGTGGGTGTAGCTAATGGATAGATGGATGTTTTGAATAGACAAAGTGTACATCTAGTAAACGAACGGTATTAGTCAAAGTAGAGGTGTTAGACCACTGCAGCTGTAATATTCAAAAAACATTTTCTGTCTTGTGAGTATTCCACATATGATAATAGTATAAATAACCCGGCAGCAGTAACTGTCTGGTTGACATTCAAACATGGGAACAACGTACAGCACAGTTATGGCTACACACACTCATATTTTGAGTGAGAGTCATCAAAAAAAAAAAAAAAGACAAAACACACAATGAATAAAATAAAATTTAAATTTAAACGATAGCATTCATAGACATCGTGAAGTCTCGGCCATGATAAACGTGTTGTGAAAATCTTATATCATAGAAGCGCCTAAACCAAATTTATGTTCCCATCTGAAATTCACGGATGTTAAAGATAATGGATGAAATTTGAAATATGACCTCAAAGGTACTTTAGGCTGCAGTACATTATGGTTTACTGAAGTTACATTTATTGAAAAAATGACGTCTCTTTGTTTAGGCTTTTTATTTCTACATATACACATATAAAATGTTGTTTTTCATTTTGAGGTGTTGGCACAACATCCTGAAGTTTACTGTTAATATTTTGGATCAAATAGAGTTTTCAGATTTTATTGAGCACCGGCTCTACTGAAGATGTACATCTATAGTCGATAAGTTTCAAAAGATAATAAGAACAATTCATCAACTTATACCAAAGCAGGCTTCAGAAACGAATAGAAAAAAGATGGTCAAGTTGTGGGAGACCTTTCCTTAAGAAATTAACTACAACACAACTACAACACAATTTCCTGAACAGTGCCTCACACAGCTGCACTACTTTGGACTGTGGGTTTTTTTAACGGCCATGCTATTAGTTCCAACCATGATGTAGTCAATTAATGCAAAATTTTAGACAAACATTTAAAACGCCTGCATCACAGGCTGGCTAAAACCACCAACACACTCCCCAATTAACTGCATGGAAGAGGTCTAAGATTGGACATCCAAAATATATGTTTTTTGTTTCTTTTTAAACTCATGGCAAAACAATGGAGAAGCGAGATCAGAGAAGTAAAGAAATGTCATTATTTCCCAGGTTGGTGGAGGGAAAAAAAAAAAAAATCACATATATTGTTGTAAGGAGGTTCATTTGCCTGACAGGGCATTTGTTTGTTTTTGCATAATTGCTTCCAGAAAAGGCGATATTTTTGGACAGCATGACGCAAGCAAGAATAAACACAGTAATTAGTGCTTCGAAAACTGCAGGAAGCTGAGAGAATTGGATGGAGAAGGAGGAGAAGGGACATTTGAATCCCCTATGGTGTTATTAATGTCACTGGCAGTACATCGCATTGACCACCTCCTGGTCCAATCCAATTGGATGGAAATGATATTTAAAGGAGATATCCAGGGTTTTGCTGGTGTTTGCTATTGATCAGTCAACAACAGGCTGATACAGTCTTTGTTTCTTAAGATGTGGCGCCAACCATCATGTAATGGCAATTTCAGCAAACTCCTTTTTGTTTGCTGCTTGACCACGACTGATGGCTGGGTTGGTTTTAGTCTTGACACATGCAGATGAATGATGATGAGTCGAGATGGATTCAGTCGGTCCCACTGACCATTTATTGCATTTCTTACTTCCGTTGAATTACAAGTCAAAAATAAAATAAAAACGTGCTAAATCAAAAGTATTTAAGAAGGCCTGGTTCCTCTGTGCAGCCACATGGTCAGAAAACTGTTTGCCTTCCTCAGACACACCTGATGCTGTGGCAGCTCCTTCTTAAGCCTTCTCCAGTAGGCTCCACCTCCAACTTCCTCAGTCAGGTGGAATCACCCTCCGGCCTCCTCTCGGTGGAATTAAACACAATCATTACAACTCATTCCCCCACAGGCACACATGAACCTATACTCTCTCCCACTCACATCTACACCAACAACAAGAAATAACATTTGGCTCAATTTGGCTCCTACACATCCTACATGGTCAAATCAAAAATATATTATAATCTGTGGGAAGTTGTAAAAAAAATCTATTTGATGCTGCTTGACAGAAAAACATCCAAAACAGTCCAAGGTGTAAGTTTTCCAGCGTTAATGAGTATAATTTCTTCTGTATTTTGGCTTGAGCTTGTCTGGTACGGTGCTAACCCAAGTTTTGTTTCGTTTTTTTTTTTTTGCTGTGACTGATGACTTTGACTGTAGCGCACAGGCGTGTAAAGACGTGCTGCATACAGAGTCGACAGATCTACAATACCACATGAACGTTTTTTTTTTTTTTTTAAAAATACTGTTTATCAGTAACCGGGGGGCAAAACATTACTCAGTTTCAATATCAGTCCCCCTGTGGTACCATGTGTCTGAAGATCAAAGAAGATGGAAATAGATATATGCAGGAATTTAATTTGATAGCTGGAGTCCCAGTTTGTTAGAATATATGTGTAAAACATGGCCTTATTGCATGCTTAAATTTCTAATACCGCAGGCTACTGCTCAAGGCAAAATAAATGTTGCGAAGGTCTTCTTCCTCCCCTTTCTGCACTTTTTTTTGTCCTCTGGCCCTGCTCCTGCCAACCCACTCTGTGGAACATCTGCAATAACACGCTCACCCACACTAAACAGCCAACCCTTTAAATACATGAATCATCCTGGAGAGAAAGGGGTGTGTATGTAGATGTGTGTGCCTCTTTATCTCTGTTTATGGGTCGTTCAGCGACATATGAGAAAATAATTTGTTTTTATATGTGCACATCGGCGCGTACGTCTGAGAGAATGATTGTGTGTGTGTGTGTGTGTGTGTGTGTGTGTTCCTGATCCTGAGCTGGAGGGCTGTGTGGGCAGAAGCATCCTGTGTCGGTGTAAATTGATTTCCAGAATCCAGACACTAGGTGCTCTTTGGAGGAAAGAGTTGTGTGCTTCTGCACCCATTTATGAAAGAAGGTAAAGTGGTTTGTGGCTGCATGTGTCTGTGTGTGTTTATGAAAGTGAGAAAGAAGGAAAAAGATGGAGAAACAGACAGATTTTTTTTTTTACAATGACGCAGGAAAATCTGCCGTCTCTGTTTCCATACTGCCCAAAAAGTAGTTTTACAAGCAGGTGAAAAGCGATTTCTTTCGTGATGCAACCAGATGTCTATGGGAAACAGCTGGTTACTTGTTTATTCATGACCATCAGTGTTAATGTGCATTTCATATATATGTGTGTGTAACTCCTTTGTTTATTCATGAGTAGAGACAGAAAGAGAGATGTGGAGTGTCAGAACAAGTGAGACAAACAGTGAGGCGGTAGAGAGAGAGGATACCACACACACACACACACACACACACACACACCTTGCATTTAGGAACCGTAGTTATCCAAAAAATGACAAACCCATCACTTTCTTGGCAGGCGGCAGCACTAATTTAGCATATTCATTACAATGTGGTTTACAGGGTAGGTTTCAGCTTCATACAACAGGGCTAATGATGGATGGTGGCCATTAAATCTTTAGGTAATTCCCTCCTTGTAATGAATATTGATTTTAAATCAGCGTGCACGAACACACTTTCATTTTAGCTGCAATCCTTGAATCGTCGCACATGCCAATTTCTTGTCTAGATTGTTGCAGATCTGAGCCATTTTGAACTTCAAGTCCACGACTGGCTGAATGTAGAAGTGTTACTCAGGTAAGGTTCCATGCAGGTTTCAGTAAAGATCTGCGGTTTGTTCCTCCTTACTGAGCTCAGTGGTTTTTGCTCTGGGAGCTGTCCGAGCACTGTGGTGCTGAAAGTCTTGGTCTCTCTGGTGGTTGTCAACATCTCTGAGTGACCCACTGAGACTAAAATGTGTGTGTGTTATTACCTCTCAGACTGGTTTATATAAATAGAAAGCTGTTCAGGTAAAATGGTCCAATATAGCGAAGAAAGTGTGAAAACAGTGAACTAAATTTTGTGTGGCAGTCATATTCTTTCCTACCTCCATTGGGAAACACTGCTCAGCAATTTGTGCAGAATCTCATCAACGTCTGATATAAACATCTTGATCTTTAGGCTATTTAGTGGGTTTAAAAGACTTCATTTTACTACCACCCCTCAGAAAAAAAGTCTTAAATAGCCCTATAAATAACATCAGTGCCAAGGGAAATTGCTCTGACAGACACACACACAGGCACACACACACAAGCTCTGAGTGAAGAGCACACAGGATGTTGCAGGGTGACAACAGCAGCACCGGGGTATGGGCAGGGTTCCCAGCACTTGAATGCAATTCCGTGTGGGAGGAGGATGGGTGGGTTTAAGTGTAGGCTATCTAGTCCTTTCTCTTCACACGCTCTGCTGTGCGCACAGACTGAAGACAAAAGCAGAGAACCTCTCCATGTGATGTGTAGCAGGTCGGTGAGGGCGCAACAGTGAGCTCAGATACTGTCCCCCGCATTAAAAAGCATATTTACGCTGCATGGAGAGTTAACCAAGTGCGCCTCTGCTTTTCTTTTTTTTTTCCTTTTCTTTTTCTTGCGGGTGTTCACTCACTCAGTGCTCCCCTCCCTCCATCCTCTCCAGCTTCAACATTTGTGAAGTGGCTGCCTCACCCGGTCGGACCGGAGGCCGTCTGGTCTCTGATCTGGTCTCAGGAGTCAGCGGACCGCGCTCCGTCGGCGCCAGGCTGTGCGCTTCTCGGATCACACCCGAGCCGCCAAGCGCTCTGGCGATGGAGATGATGGAGGGAGACGTTATGGACAAGCTGGAGGACATGTCATCGGTGTACGACTTCGACCCGATCACCGGCAACATCCCCGCTACCAAAGTGGAGATCACCGTCTCCTGCAGGTGAGTGGACGCGTCCGCAGAGAACCGAGAGCGCGACGCGATGCCGGGGAAAGTTCCGTGTGCCGACTGCGTGCTCGAAAAGTTGTGAACGCGCCCCACCCTTTCTGTGGGATCTAGTTAGGACTGCTCGGTGACAAGATGATCCGAAATAAATGGAGATGGTCATCCGTTACGCTGCTTTAACGCATGCAGATTTGGTGCAGCTCTCATGGTTTGGTTTACTAAAAGTTGTTGGATTAAATCTTTCTACCGAGCGTTTTTTCCCCCGATGACATTTAAGTAAGAAAAAGTTAAAATCACCTTTAACATTAGTTACAAAATGTGCAGAACATCGCGTTATATTATGCATGCAGGTGTTTTAAAGCAGCTGTTTTCAGATATTTGAGAGAAATCATCATCCAAAAACCTGGTAGTGCTGATATGTCAGTCACATCCTTTTGCTGTAACGTTTCTTTTCAGCCAGAAATCCTCTTTTATTCTGTAACCGCTGGCAGCTTTGAGCACCAACAGCGCGCTGAAAGCCTTGTTCCCTTTTTTTTTTTTTTTTTTTTTTTTTTTTTTTAAAGTACTGGCTGTTAAAGATTCAAAGGTTTCCATCGCATTCGCACACTGCCTGCGTCCCTGGCCTGCAACTCCACATTCTTTATATTTTGTCTGTACAAAGCTGTGTCCTTTTTAGAAAGTGTGTCAGTCAAAGAAATCCACATTCACCAAGATGGATTTGTCTCCACTGCGCTCGTTCAGTGAGAACAGACAGTCACTGTTGTTGCCATTAGGAGAGGGTGTTTTTTAGTCAAGGCTTTCAACGCCTTTCGCCTCTCAGACGCTCCACTACTGGCATGTGAGAGCGAGCATCTTTACGCACACGCGCACACACACACACACACACACACACACGCTGGTCTTTGATGCTGGGTTTTAGGTTGGTGAGCCATCGAAGCAGAGTGAGTTGGAGCCATAACAAGCTGTGTGTGCATTATTGATGGGCTCTCTGACGTTCAGAGAAGGTCGCTGCTACATCTCTCAGCTCAGAGTGGGGGAGAAAGAAGAAGAAGAAGAAGAAAAAAGAACAGACCCTTGAAAGAAATTTACTGAATGAAAAGCCGTTGTGTTGCAATGGTGGGCGTTAGTGGAGATTCAGTTTAGATGGAGGAAGGATGGAGTGCACCAATCAAAGCCCTGCATGGGTTGGTGTTTTTTTTGTTTCAGCATGTAAAAAAAAAAACAAAAAAAAAAAAGAAAAAATGAGACGATTGCATCCTTTACTGATGTGCAATTAAGCACCATTCAGGTAAATGATGAGTCCTATTCTGACTACCCTCTGCATTTATGCAAATGATTTGTCTGACATGTGTGTGTTTCTGTGCAGATGTGTGTTAGGGGAAAGGGGGGGTGGAGGAACTGAGGCAGAGTGGTGGTGCAGATTCCTACTCCCAGAAAGAAGAGGAGTTTGGGGAGAAGAAATCATTAATTGTACAGGGAGGGTCGATGCGCTTCTCTCCTGCTTCACTGCCACCTTGTTTGAGTGTGTGGGAGAGACTGAGTGAGAAAGAGAGCAAGAGTGACTGAGAGTTCCTCTTGACACATGGAAAATCCACACTTTTTATGAAATAAATATCAAATATACAAGTCAGCAGGTAAAAATGTGACTCACTGTGTTTAAAAGGTTGTTTTCCCATATAATTCCTAATTCCTCCTGTGTTACAATGACCGGCTACTGCTTCAGCTACTCCTAAAGCAGCAGAAATCAAAGGTTAAATCTGTTTGTCACATTCAAATAGCAGTTCAAGGCCTCACAAACCCTCACAGATGTTAGATGAGTCAGATTTGTATTGAAGACAAGAGCCTCCCTGTTGGGTCTTCTTCACAGTTCTCTCTTTGTCATCATGCACTCTTTAAAACCTCCAAACCATGATGATAGCTGTTCCCCCAGGGTTAATACCCCCTATTACAGGCTACAGTCCCTGCTTTTGACAACGTACTATTATCAGGACCAGTGACAAATGGAGAGGCGTGGGTGGACCCCGGATCAGGAAAATAGGAAGGTGGGGGGCAAATGATAGGACTTGGTTTGTCTTAGATTTGAGGACGGGAGAAGAAGATGGGCTTGGTGTTAGAAAGTTGCAAAAACTGTTTCATAAAAATCCATATGAAGCTATTCGGCATGATGGATTTGCATTCTTTTCCTAACCCTGTTTTAGCTGTCTGACATCTACAGGGCTCTGCCCATGAACAGATAGTTCTTGGATTACGTTTGTCACCATCTTCACATTTGTCACACTGTTTGATGTGTGATTTCCAGCACATTAGTTTTGTGGGAAAGCTTGGCCTTCAGGAACTGTGTTAGAAACAGGAAAGTGGCGAGACTTAAAAAAAAAAAAAGGAGAAACTTTTGAGGCAAAAATCTAACCTGTGGTTTCTTTTAAACTGATGTTTACACCCCCACAGGGCTTGTCAGTCGATGGTCTGGCTCCTGAGGAGAAGTGACAGGAAAAGGGTGCAATTGGCATGTGGACAGGAAAGTGGAGGTGTAAATCCTACAGCCACAGTCCTTCATTCAGCACCTTGTTAAATCTTTTCACTGCCATTTGCAAGCAAGTCAAAGTCTGCTCTTCTGTTTCTGTTCCACTGTCTGACTGTCCAGTCAATTCAACAACATAAAAAAAGCACTTAATGCATCTAATGTGGCCAATAGCCATTTACCAGCCTCTCCAGTCAGCTGAGGAAAGACTGTCTGGATGGTGTATTGAAGAGCAGGTGCATCAATGGAGGAGAACTAGCTGCTGGGTATTGAAAAGCAATGAGCTCACCTGGCGTGATTGTTACTGTGTGCTGCAGCTTGTAAGACCAATGTAAGACAACTATGTTTCTGAGTTTCTGAGCCAATATTTAACTACACTTCAACTGTCAGCCGATAACTGTACCTAGCCCCAATTTCAGATTAGATTGAACATCCACGTATCCATCAGCTACACACGCTTCTTCTTGCGGACTGTTGCATCGGGCTAAAGCGTATCCCTGCTGGTGGGGCTGGGTACACCCTGGACTCATCACCAGTCCATTACAAGGCTAACACAGAGAGACATACACAGACAACCATCCATGGTCACACTCACAGCCAATTTAGAATAACCGATTCACTCACCATGCATGTCTTTGGACTGTGGGAGGAAGCTGGAGGAAATGCATGCATAGAACATGCAAACTCCCAGGCCAGAGAGTTTCATCAACGGTACCACCCTAAATAAAAAATACTGTCTTCTGCATGATAAAAACGTTCCTATTTCCCACTCAAACTGACAGAAATGGCACATTCGTACAATAACATTTTTCATTTTTCAGCAAATATATAAAATGAATGAATTAAAGCATCCAAATTGAGTTTTATGATTGACACAGAAACCTCTAATTTTGGAGATATGTGACTTACAGCTACCATTATTTAAATTAGGACATACAACTTTGGAATTAAGCTACACATCTTTTTTTTCCCCAGTTCATTCAGGTGGTTAGAAGAGTCATTGAGAATTCTGTCAGTCCAGTTATATTATGCCTGTGTAGATTTTCAGTCATCCAGGTCATGGTAATCTGAGCAGCTGTAGTCAAAGGCAACTGGACTTCTTTCTCTCTCTCTATATATATATATTTTTTTCTTTAAAACTTTGCTCTCTCAGAACTGAAGAAGGCTCTTGGATAAAAGGTGAAACATCTTCAAGAACCCAAAAAACTCCAGAGAACTTAAGTTGCCTTACCATCATCTGAGTAACTCAGCGTCTACTGAAGCTGAGTTGCTCAGATGATGAAATACATGAGAGGCATGAACTGTGGCCGGGCAAAACTGAACAGGCAAGATCATAAATTTATCTTGCTGTTTTCAAACTGTGGAAGGGAAAAACATTTGGAGACAATGAACAATTATTGACAATAAAGAAAAGGCGCCTTTAGGCCCTTGAATAGTACACCAGTAAGTCAGTGCTGTTACTACTTACTAAAAGTAAAATGTGGATGATTTAAAAGATAATGCCATGAGTAGTTTTTTATTTTTTTATTTAATCAATTAACTTCTCGCAAAGATCAGTAAACAGACAAAACTAAATCAGTATTTGGTGTAATCACCCCGAAGAGAGTTGCTGCTGCTGCTTTAAATTCACATTTGAACACAGTTTTTAAAGGCATCTTGGAAAATTCGCCACAGTTCCTCTGTGGATGCAGACTGTCTCACTGTCTTCTGTCTCTTCATGTAACTCCACACTGACAACATGACGCTGAGATCAGGGCTCTCTGAGGGCCAAACCATCTGTTGCCTGACTCTTTGTACTTCTCGTCTGAAGATAGTTCTTTCTGACTCTGCAGCTTGTTTAGGGTTATTGTCAAGCTGCAGGAAGACTGTGGACTCGATCAGGTGCCTCCCTGATGGTAAATAGCCTGATAGATAAAAATCTCTAAACTGCCTTAAACCTTTTACACAACACAGTAGGAAGGAGGAGCTGATGGGGGTTTGAAGTGCAATGTGACTCCCAACCAGCTCTGGGTTAAGGTTCACATCGACTGAACGCAGAGCAGAGACCCAATTAAACCATTAATGGATTGTCCTTTTCTTGAGAGTGACACCTAATCTAAGGTCTTCAATATGGTGAAGATAGATCTAGCAGGTGCTGAATTTTATTTTAATTGGTGGCTTGTGGGAGTGACATGATTTTTCTTTTGTTTTGCAGTTAGTGCATGGCTCGCTAACAGTGGGATTTCACAGCTTGCCTCCTGAGTTCAGGCAGTGCATGTGTTGCTATGATTAAATACCTCTGCTAAATATCTAGATGGTCTGCATTTGCATGCATGCTTATGAGAACTCTGGTTTCAGCATCCGCTAGCTTCCCTAACGGAACTGGGACAGATATGAAAGCATCTCACACAGTGCAGAAAAGCCCTACAGGGAGATCCAACACCACTGCTTATCATCACTCTGATTTCCCTTTGCTCTTGCACATCACATCTCTCTAGGT